GTATGTGCATCTCTCTGTATGTGGCTACACAGCACAATGTCATACTTAGGTTATTCTTCTGACATATACAGACTGCATATAGATGTTTAGGTACAATCTACATGCTACATGATATACACCTGAATAAGCCATTAAATAAATAGCAATTTCCTTATTGCTTTACTGTGTTATTTGTACTCCTTCCATTATATTATCCCTGTTGGGTTAACTGAAACTCTCTGATCATTTTAGTATTTAAAATTAATCCAAACATCTGCAAGCACATATTGGAATGCATCTGTAAATAACTACAGCAATCTTTCTGTAAGAAAAAAAAAAAAAAGTAAAAAAATAATCTATATTGTAATATAATATGTATTTCAAATGCAGCAGGGGTGGTGAAAAGTAGACAATGTCCTGAATACCAGTTAATAAGTTTGCCAGCTAGGACTGTAAAGATCTATCAGTGACATCAAATACTGTGCTGATGGAGCCAATACACAGGGTGTAAAATTGTAGTGCCAAAGGGTATGAAATAGAACCAAAAATGTGCAGCTCTAAACATCCTATTCATATCAATTTGTTTCCAACAAATGGCATGACTGAATTAGTTATCCTATGCATGCTCACGCTAAAAGATGAAATGCAAAAATGCCCAATTAACAGAATTGCAAAATTTAGTATTTTGCTCTCTATGTCTATAGAAATAGAGAAGTTGACAGCCTACAGGTGATCTATGCCTGATAGAAAGGGAGAAACTCACTTTTAATTCTCTGAAAATCTGAACGTCATGTATGACTTAGTTAAACTTCCCACTGGGAGTGGTTGCGTATCACAGGAGTGCAGTTAATGGACCAGAAAAGACAGCCATTGTCAAACTCAACACACATCTGTTCGTAAGCTTTAGTTAACAAAAAGTAATACAGACCACTTCAACGTGCTCCCAGAAGAAAGTGCAGTGGTATTTGCATGGCTAAATAAATAAAAGACTAAAGGAATATATATATATATATATAAAGGATACTGCTTCAGTTCCTTCTGATCAGTCTTATACATCCTTAAGAAGAAAGTATCAGTCTCAACATTAACACTGCTGGAGCTAGTAACATGCCCTTGGAGCAGTTTAACTTGGCATGGGAATTTTTTGAAAGGGAAGAAAGCCTGAGAGTAAGACAAGCTTGTAAAACATGTTATGAAAAGAACCTAGGAACCATGTGGAGGAGAATTAGATTTTGGAATCTCAAATATAAAATGGAATAGAGGTGCATAAGATGCTTAAGTGGGCAAGTGTAATGCAGTTTATAAATGGTTTAACGTAATACTACATGACTATCCATACTATGTATGTGGTAGCATGATGATGTCCAGATACTCAAATTTACTGATGGTGCTGATCAGGAAAAAAAGACCAAAAAATCCTTTTGCTTTGATGTTTGTATTCCATACAGACAAACTGAGTGCACTTAAAGAGTTTCATTCACTTCTTACATACACAAAGGTGACGAGCCAAGATGTTTTTAAGATTTTCTTACAGAAGAAGTAAGGAAATATAATAATCAATACAACCAAAAAATAAGAAAGCAAAGTTGTACATGACTGAAGAAGGTCATTAACTGCCTCAGAACAATGGTGTGGGCATTCTCACAAAACTGCTGTATCTCTGGAGGCCGCTTATTGTTCAGCTTATTTAGATCCAGATCTTCAGACCCTGGGAACTGCTCAGATCTGCACGTTTATCCTGTGAACAATGATTGACTGATCTGCAGTTTAAATTCTAGGAAGTGCGTTCTGCTGTGGTAGGATGGAGCCCCTCGACACCTACTCCAGGACCTCTGGATCAGGCATTTCTCACATAATTTTTTGGTTCAGAAGCAATAAACTGTCATACACTTTTGCATTGGGAAAGCCAAATTATTACAGTGAGTTTCACTGTCTTATAACTGTTCAGTGGCTGACAGTGACTGGGCCTATTCCGCAAAGCTTTGTTCAGACAATCCAGTGGCTCCCGTCTGGCTATCTCCTCTCATTTTCTGATCCTCTTCATATGGAGTCTAATCTTGTATTATTGGAGTTAATGAGAATGATGCCTGGCCTCTGAAAAGCCAGCTTTTCATGTAAGGAATGTTAATGGGACTGAGCTGTTTGTCTGCCCTCAGAATGACGCTTTCTATCTTACTTTTCCTGAAAACAATTGCAGTATTCTATCATTTGTACTTAAAAAAAAGTAGTGCTGTGTTAGATTGTACCTTTGGGTCTTGCATCATTCTTCTTCTGAAAGCTATCATGTGCGCTTGTGTTCATAAATAATATATCCACTTGTGCATATAATTACAATTTGTGTGTGTGCATGGTTTTAATGCAAACACATATACATCAAGGATACAACTTAATTTGATCCCCTCTGTACTTGCAACACAGACAAATTCTTAATATTTTATAGTGCATATTCCATTAAATAAATAACAAAATTGATCTGTGCTACAACATGTGTATACGTACACAATTTATAATGCCTGTAGTAGCATTTTAAAGCCTGTTCACACATCAAAATACAGGTTGTTTATTTCTACCTTAAAACAATCTGAGGGTTTAGCTCTTCCTATTCTGTAAACAGTGGTGACAGCTGCTTTCAAAAGAAGCTTAACTTCATTAAAATATAAGTTTCCCATTGTAAAATCAATACTAATATACCATAAATCCCCCTGATGAACTCTGGCTTCCTTACATGCTCTCTCTCATTTTGTGTGTTAGGGGCACAGCACTACTCTAAATATCAGAAGATAATAATATGGCAAGATATAGATATAGATATATATTTAAATGTTAAAACATTAGTTAGGTCAACTTGAGTAATGAATATATTTCAAATATATGCTTCTTTCTATAAACAAATATATTTAATTTTCTTTGTAAAGTGGGTGCCTTGCAAGTTCTATATGTCTACTAAACTCATAAACCAATCCTGGGCATCTTTATCTCAAAATGCACTCGTGACATATAGCTGAAGCTTTAACTTTTTTGGATTTTTTAACTAAACTTGCACTTGAAGTAGACTTACAATATAATTTACAAGCTTACTTTTAGGTAGACATTTTAAACAATTCATACAAAAGAAAGATTTGTATGTCAAGAGTATTTGTTTTAGTGACAAGAAAGCTAGGTATACTCTATTCATTTCTCAAGCAGACCTTTATGAATCACTTTAAAAGGACATTACAGCTGAAGACTGAAGAGCAATATTTATCAACATTAAATAAAACATTTGGTGAAGTATGTATAAATATTTCTTCATATGAACATAACACAAAATTAAATAGTTCAGATACACAGACACCATTTAATATATTTCCACTGTTGTCAAAATCATCTGTAAACACCATCTCACACTGAATACAAAAGCAGCTTTTACATCAGTTCTGTGTTCACAACACTGATGCCCCTTTATAAAATAAATTTGTTTTATTTTCAGCAAAAAAAAAAAAAAAAAAAAAAAAAAAAAGTATAAGCAATAAAAAAAGTTTTGGTCAGTTCAAAGACAATACAAAATTATCTTTCAACATGTAAATAAATCCGATTTAGAACAGTTTAAAGTACAATCCTTTCCCTGGGGGACCTCTGACTTCTATAAATCACACTGTTCAGTGCAGACCACATCACAAATGCCAGGAAATACTGGTCATGTCTAAGCTAGAAATATGAAAGCCCTTTAAAAATTTTCTTTATTAAAAATTACCAGGTTACAAATGGCAATATCCACATTTTCTGAAACACCAAGTAACATGGCAATAAACAGAATTAGGTATACTTCTACTTAAAAGAGATTCTGGAAAAGAAACACTTTAAAATGAGTGTCCTTCACATGCAAAAACAGATTATTTCTTTTACACACAGCTTTCACATCTGAAGATCACCTGGGTTGAGCATGAAATGGGGCTGCTGATCATGTCTGCACCCGTCTGACCACCGAGCCTTTGAGCACTGATAGCTCAGATGTGAGCTCTCACTATTCCACACTCTACAAAGATAAACACGTGCTCTGCCCTGCATGTGACCATCAATTCCTTTCACCTTCATATTCTTTAAAGAGATGTAATCTCATGCGGGGAGAGATACCGTGCTCAAGGCAAAGGTTACACTGGGCATACGCCCCATTATAAAACTCTGTAGACAGGCTCACAGGCAACGCTTTCGTTCTCTCCATTTGTTTTGGCTGGAGAGATGAACCTGAATTTCAGGTGGTGAACAATGAGATAAATATTTATAATACAATTTTCTAATATATATATTTTAATTTCACTCACATGCAAGAGTGATGTGGGGCCCTGAAAAAACTAGACCAATAGATTACCTCTTTCCTGGTATGTGTGTATTTTAGAGATGTGAATGTATTTTTTGCATACATACACACTCACACACACACATATATATATAACATGAGCTGCACACTTGGCGACCAGGAATCAGGGGTACAATTAATAATAATACACCAAAAGAGAAGTAGACAGGAAGCTCTACCTTGACAACAAGAAGCAATTTTGCAACCTATACAGTGTCTCAAATAATTTCATAATCCTGTTTTGCTGGCTTGCTACATCTGCATGTGACTTGAATTGAAAGCTGTTGGATTCCTTGGAAACAGAAGAATTGGGCTAGCTAGATGTGCTTACCTGAGATCCCAGAGTTGATTACAATCAAAGAGCTGGGCAGATCAGTAATGGGTTTACAATTGCTATACAGCTTCTTTCAAATTTGTATGAAAACTTTATTAAGTCTTTCATTCTTTAGTAAAAACGTTGAAGTTTGTTAGTTTTTGCTGAATGCAGACTTCATTTTTATATTAAACCAGATTTATTAAAAGGATACATATGCCCGGCAGCTGCTTTCATGTCCTGATGTTTAAATGTTTGAATCAGCACCCTGGAACCACCCTCCCACCCCATCCCGTCCTGTCCCATTCCAGCCCCTCCCAATCTCATCCCATCCTATCCTACCCCATCCCTTCCAAACCTATCTAATCCTGTCCCATCCCATTCTCCATTATTTTTTCAGTTGTTTAAAAAATACTATTCTATGAAGCCTCCCTAGGGATCCGCTTATGAAAAATGACAGACTGCCTTTGCTGATACTGCTGTTTGCGTCGTTTTCGTTTGTCACACTGGCACAGCAGTAACATCTTGAAAGTATTTCTGAACATTTTGTTACACAGTGCATAGCACACCGGGTTCACTGTGCTGTTGATGTAGCAAAGCCAGTACCCCAGGTTCCACACAGTTTTGGGGACACAGTTGCAAAAGGTGTTCACCAGAACCATGATGTTATAAGGAGTCCAGGTAATGATAAAGGCAAACAAAATGGCACTGAGTGTCTGTGCTGCTTTCTTTTCTTTGATAAGTGACATTCGTTTTCGCTTCGTGATTTGACTTCTGGTCTTCAAAGCAAATTTTTTTGCCAGAGTTGCTTCCTTGAAGGACAAAGGCAGGGCTGCAGATGTCTTGGTCATTGATGAGATGCCATCAGAAGCTGTAGCTGTCTCTGCTGACCCTGGCTGAATTGGAAGCTTTGAAAAACTCTTCTGGAAACTTCCACCATCCTGAATACTTCTGGGAGGTTGCAGTTTTTTAGGTTTCTTTTCCTGTGAGTCCGTGTCGGATTTCTGCAGTTCATCTGCTGACTCATTCAGATCTTCCGAGGAGGGCAACTTTGTGGAATTGAGGATGGCACTGTGACCAGGAAGCTTCAGCACGATTGAATAGATAGCTCTGGTCTCTGCTGTGATGTCCTCTTCATCAGATGAGGCTGAATTTTCAAGGGAGGCAGCAGCATCATTGTTGTTCCAGCTGTCACTGCTGCTGTGCTCTTGATCCCCCTGGTCTGTGTTGGGTTCCCAGCTCTTCATTGTGAGCCAGAAGTGGCAGCGCCTGTACTTCTTACGGCTGGAGCGCTTTGTGCTCTGCCGTTGCAGCTCATAGCTGCTGCAGCTCCGGGAGCTGCCAGTCTGGTGTACAAAGCGTGCTGTCTCTGCCTCACTGCCTGAAGCCTGTAGTCCTGCTAACTCTTTGGTGCGCTTCTCAGTCTCCTTGTAAATCCTCCAGTACAAAATACTCATAATGGTGACTGGCAAATAAAAGGCAGCTATGGCAGTGCCAAAAGTGATGATAGGTTCACTTAGAAACTGGATGAAACATTCATCAGGAGGCACAGTCCTCTTCCCAACAAAATACTGCCAGAACAAGATGGCAGGGGCCCAAAGAACAAAAGAGATGACCCATGCTAAACCAATCATTACTCCAGCCCTTTTAGTTGTTCGTTTGGCTCTGTATGTAAGTGGCCTAGTGATGGAAAAATACCTGTCAAAACTTATGACAAGGAGATTCATGACAGAGGCATTAGAGGCAACATAGTCAATGGAGAGCCAAAGATCACAGGCCAAGTTTCCCAAAGCCCAGTGGCCCATAATAATGTATGTGGTGAAAAGATTCATGGAAATAACACCGATGATCAAATCTGCACAAGCAAGACTCAACAAGAAGTAGTTGTTGACTGTTTTCAGTTGTTTGTTAACCTTAAATGAGACAATCACTAGGATGTTTCCTATGATGGTCACTAGTGCAACGATCCCAGTGAGGAAAGCAATCAAAACTACTTGCCAGACAGTGTGTCCACCCAGAGGGTCTTTGATTGTGGCATTTAGGGATGTGTTTGTTGATTCCACAGTGGAGAAGGGAAAGCTCTCTGTGGTCTGAGGAAAATCATAGCTGCCAATAAGCGATGCTCCTTCATCAAGTAGTCCTGGTCCATGGGAATCTCTCTTCCAGAAGGAGCTCACATTTGAAAACAGGGGCAAGGCTGAACTGCTATTGTGCATGATCATTGTGGCTCTCTGACATAGTCTGCAATGGAGAGAAAAATAAAAAAAAAATCAAGTGAATGAGTGCAGGTGATAAATAAAAAAATTGTTCACATACTCATATACATAACCTTTAGCACTTTGAAAGATGTCTTCAAAAGCACAGTTGCCTGTGATACAGTCCAAGTCAAACACATATGTGATAATATTCAGCTTACAGCTGTGAATAATCAAAGCTCTTTCTAGCAATCACACAGTGTTTTCTCAAAACCATTCAGTAGCAGAAGAACCAAATTCCCAGGAGAATTTGAACCTTTGATAGCATTAAAACGTCCACTAACTCTTAATTAAAATGCTTCCTAATGGAAGCATGGAACTCTGTATCTGAACAACCTGCTACCTTGGAGCCTTCAAAAACTAAATGCCAGACACATGTGGATACAAATTCTGTGAGACTGAGTCACTGCTGGTCCCCAGAGCTCCCATGGCTCTAGCAAAATGATGCCTCAGACTGCAGTCTCCAGAAATAGCTAACATGGAACAAAAATATTTTTCCACCTTTCCTTAAATTACAGAGATACAGAGATTCAGCATGATTTAACTATATATCAAGCTACTATATCCCTACATTGCTACAAAACAAAAAGATCTTTTCTGCTATATTTCAGCAATCTGATACTAGAAGTTCTCACCACTGCTTTTTGTGCATGACACTTGTCATTTTGTATCTACATTTTTACACTTGGTTTAAGGATTTTACATGAATGTGTAATGACTTAAAAATGTCTTTGGGGCAATACGTTAAAATTTCCTTTGAAAGTATGGTCTCTAGAGTTGGGGAAAATGTTTAGCAGAAGTATGTCAAAGCACTTATTAAACACTTCAGAAAAAAGAGGAAAAAAAGCATGAAAGGGATTCATAATTAAACTTTAATCCTTTTCCCTAAGTACTTATGTAAAATGAAGACATGTTCAGAATACGGATTTGGATTTCCCTTATTTCATTAACTTCTGTGGTCATCTGACTAGATCTGTTGTAATAAATCAATTATATCATCAAGCAGCAAGAATTTTGATGAGAAAATCCATTGCAGATGATAAATGTTGAACAAAATATGCTTTCAAAGGCAAACGTTTGTATTCTTACAGAATCGTTTCAGTCAGTATATTATGACATGAGGAAAATTATGAAAAGCAAAATGCACTGGCACTACAGAAAATATTTAAAGAAAAAGGGATTTTTTTTTTTTTTTTTGGTTCTGTATATATTTTGTTGTTCTTTGAAATGCACTTAGTTTTGTCAGGAAGCTGTATGAAGCTGCAATTTTAAACTGTATAGTTCCTCATATATGCATTAAAAAGAACAACAATTTGTTACTTTAGTTCAAGTACAGTAATTACATAAACCATATTTTGGTGTCAAGGAAATATTAACTTTTCTGTTTTATTAATAAAAAGAAAATATTGCAATGTTACTGCAGAGTCTAATTCAATCTACATTGAAAGTGTTCATTATCATCATGACACATATATAACAAAAATACAATACCAAAACATAATAACTAAATAATAACTGTACATATTGCTCTGGGAAACACAGAATTAAATTCAACTTCTTTCTAGATAGAAAGATGGAAGTTTGAAACTAAAGTTATCTTTCATCAAAAAAGCTGACATTCCAAATCCAATTTTCATTGGAAAGGAAATGTGCACGCTTGCATGAAAATTCAGACAAACAGACATTCTAAAAACTTGTCAATTTGTAAATGAAATTAAATCAGAATTTGGTTTTTGAATTTCTTTTCAACATTGAAATATTGTGGAATATTTCATAAAAAACTATATAGTATCCTAAAATGTCTTCTCAAGTGAAAACTCTATTTTCTGAAGCAAAATAGTGACATTTTTTCACAGTTTGTTTATTGTTTGGAAAAAAAGACTGAGAAGATCTGAATTGGCTTCATAGGCTTCATAGGAAGGAAACAGTAAAAATGAAATAAAGAATTAACCACGTAACAGAAATAGCAACGGGCAACCTGCACTTATTTGTTTTTCATTAACTAATTTTAAAAACCCAGGAAGTAAGAGCAAAAGCACAAGACTTTAACTAATCACAAAGATCACACTGCCATCACATAAAATGACGATTAAAACTTATGTGTTGTAAAAACGAATATTAATCTTTTAGCAAAATGTATTAAACTAATTAGAATTCCCCACACTCCCACTCTGATTTTCACAGACCTAGCTAAGAATAGAGAGTCTATCACTCTGCCTGTGTTAAATGTTGCAGTATAGGTGACTATCTTGACGCATATTTGGCTTTTCCTATGGCTGTCACCCACTTGTCATGTCTGCTGATTTAAACTTCGTGGGCAATGTTATTACAGGATTTAGAACAATGAGAATAACAACTCCTACCAGCTTAAAGTCAGGTATACCAAATGTCATAACAGACAGCATTCAACACATTGAAGATTGGTCCTGAGCTTGTACCTGCTGCATAAAAATGCGTATTTTGCATCAAATACATAATTAATGCAGGACTTAGGGCACAACAGGATAAAGTGGGTGAGGAAAAGTGGCTCATACAAGATGCTTGCAAACATGTGAGTGAGTAAGCAGGACAAAGGGAAAGGAAGGCACAAGAAAGATACTTGCCCAAGACGCTAGAAGAAACTCTTTGCTACTGTCATGGGAAATTGTTCCCTATAAATTAGAAGATGGTGCCAGGAAACACACTAATTTGTGGCATACTTAAATAGTCATTATGTTTTATATTTTGCTATACTTTTTATGCTTTGCATAAAACCTTAAGCTTGTTTTACTCTCCTACTGAAATTCACAAGAATGATTGTGTCTTGGGACCACTAAAAATATGAGTTTTGAAACTGCAGTGCTATCAAAATACTCATGGAATGAGTAGTGCAAATTGCATGACTGTGTTCAAACACCATACACCTCTCCTTGAAAGAACTCTGTTTCTTAATGATGACAGAGTGAAGTGGCTATCAGTTTTAAAGTCAGCTCAGAATTTGCTCTACATTTAACAACAGGTGACTATTTGTTTTTCAAAATTAATAATTTAGTTCACAAAGAAAGTATTTACCAGCTTGGGTTTCAGCATCTTTAGACATACAGCTAATACAAAAATGAAATCATGAAGATGGTTCTATAAAGTGAATTGCACTGAGGTCTACTTTAGAAAGTAGCTATAGAGAAATGAACAAGAACATGCCCCATCCTTGTAGACATTCAAGGTCAATCTGGATGGGTCTCCAAGCAACCTGATATAGTCCTTTTTTCTTGCAGGGGAGCTGGACGAGATGATCTTTTTAAGACCCTTCTAACTCAGATTATTCTATGATTCTACAATTGTAGGATATCTAAAACAAAGAGCAGCATTATGCACGTTTCCAAGAACTATCCATACGCAAGTTTTTGAAAGGAAGGTGTAGAAAAATAAAACTAGATAAAAAGTACACTATGGCATGTGAATCATTCTCTGAGGCCCGATCCATCTGTACTGTTATGTGATATCTATGTGGTCATCTTTTTCCTTTGTTCTCAATCAAAAATTTCCACACTTGTCAGACTGCTTTTCACAAGCAAATCCACACAAACTTTTCTGAAACTATTTTACCATGTTCTTGCCATCTATTAGAAAAGGTGTGAGACACAACATACTTCTTCTTTGCTTCCTCAAGAAGCACTCTGCTTATGGTTTTGGAGCTGGTATAATTCAGGCCACTAAACATAATGTGTTCTACCTTATCCTTATCCTGCTGCTTCAATGACGGTGAACAAGTCAAATTTGCAGTGTCAAACAGACTCATCCCACCTATTATAAAGAGTGAAAGTCTGCAGAAGGCCATTTGCAAAAAGGCAGAAAGAGGTCTGGATGAGAAGCACACTCTTGCTTTTCATTCACTCCTCCTCCAGTGCCCTCATACCTGCTCAAAACACCTTGACCAAGGAAGTTATTGACTGTCATGTAGAATGGCTAGAAAAATGGAGATCTCAAATACTCAGGAATTACAAACCAAAGTATGTGTAAACTCAATGTGCAATAACATATTCTCCTTTGAAGGAGGCACTGAAGCATAATTTAAGTTCACCTAACTGCTTTCAATGCACAGGTGAAACAAAAACACAGTTCACTTGTGAGCAATCACTTGAACAAACAATGGCGATGTTCTTGCCAATTATTTATAGGTCAGTGTGGATGAGAAATAGAGTCAGTGTAAAGTATTCTTGCAGTGTTTTACATAGGAATTAGGCATATTTTCTACAGCTGTCAGAGAGGATGAAGTCACAACAATATATGTATAATAATATACATAATATATGTATATGTATACAACATAAGTATGGCAGAGAGCTGAGTTATTATATTTGCCAAATATATTCTAGAAATAATTAATTTTATAGAGTGCAGACACTTCCACTGACACTGGGGCAGTGAGCATAGGATAAAGGCCATTAACCATGCCCTCAACACACATACATGGGTAAAAACTCTACAAGGTACATCCAACATAATCAAGTATTGATTGAGAAGCCTGAAAGATTATTTTTGATGATGATAATATTTAATTGCTTTTTCAAGTAAAGCAACGCAAGCTAGTATCTTGTAATAGATGAGAAAGGACCTGGGAGAAGATGCTGACAAAGGAATAAAGGAAACAAAGCTTTCATTAAAGAATAAAGATTAAAAAATTGGTATCCCTTAGAGCTGATGGTAGAAATAGCAGTATTACTAAGAAATAGCAATAAAATTGTTGACAATTCAGTAGTGCTTCACATTTTCAATACGTAATAAAATCATAAACAAACCTAAGTGTTATTGTTGGAAGTCCAAGACAGCTGCAGTTTGCAAATAAATTTGTAAAACTAATGTATAAATGCACTATCAATCACTATATCCACTAAAACAATTGAGAATTCTGTTTAACTGCAGAAACTGAAATGCAGTATCAGTGTAAATTAGCTAATAAATACTTTCAGAAATATCAAGTCACTATGAGGAAACCTGGGAAAACCT